AAGCTTTCTGACAAAATAGGATTAATAAACTAGTAGGCATACAGCCTGATTTGGAGTATAAAAAAAAAAAAAAAAAAAATAGATCTGTCCAATTTAAAAATAATATAATCTAATGTAATATTAGAACCTATATTAATTTGTTGTTAATAATTCTAGTAAATACTTTTTTAATTATATTCAAAAGTGTTATGAACCTAATGAAACTGAAATTAAGAATGAATTTATAAATTATTTAATATATAAAATTTTGCAAATTAATTATGTCCCTTTTAAAGAAATATAATTAATTATTTATTATTTTAATAGAAAACATAATTCAAAAAACACTTGGATCAAATAATTTAAATTGCAAAAAACTTTTGTATATAGTTTTTTTTTTGATTTTATATTTTTAAAAAAACTTTTTTAATAATAAGAAATATTTAAATTATATCATTACTTTAAATTTAAAGATTTATCTTTAGTTAAAGTTATATTGTCAATCTATACTCTTTAAGATAAAATATATTAGATTGTATTGTTATTTGATAAGAATTTTTTTGATATGAAAGATCTGATTAAAAAGAGTTGTGAATTTCTTTACTCTTGATATATTCAAATATTTTTAATATAATTTCTTGGATATATTTGTTATATTATTCTTTATTAATTTTTTGTTATAAAAAAAATTTTTTTTTTATTTGTTAAAGTTTACTTGAAATAAAATTGCTTAATTGAAAAGTTATCTAAAATATTCTGCCTATAGTTTCAAAAATTGAAATTAAACAAACTTATATAAATTTGTATAAGATTCAAAATACTAATAAAAATGATAATAGATTATAACCCATATATTAAATTTAATACAAACCTGAGAATTAAGAATTAAATTAAGTTAATCATTAGGATCCTTAGTTCTATTACTGTTTATTTAATTTTTGCAGAATTTGTAATTATTAAGAATAGATTTTTGTATAACAAGTTTATTAAAGATAATATTGTTTTATTTTTTTTGAAAAATAAGTAATATCATTTTTTTTTATTTATTAAAAGATAAATAAATTTCTTTTCTATATCTTTTTGAATTAGCTTAAGGTCTCTGTTATTACATTTAAAGTATTATTTTTTTTTGCTATATAATTTTTAATTTCAATAATTTTTTTATTTCTATAAGTTGGTCTTTATGTATTTTTTTGTTTTATTATTATTTTTTTTGACTTTTATTTTAAAAAAGTATTTTAATTTGGCTCTGTTAATAACTTTCTATATAATATTTCAAAGTTTATCAAGTGTTATGATTTTTGGATTCATTTGTTTATTCTGTTATTAGAGTATATGATATAGTTTTTTATAAAAGTTCTTTTGATAATTGGTAACTACTTCAATTATTATATATTTAATTTTATATATTTGTTTAGTATTAAGAAAGATTTTTTATAAAAATTAGAAAGGACAATTATAATTTGAACTATGGTATAATTATTGCCTATTATTATGGCTCTTGAGCTAATTTTTGTTTTGATGAAGTATTAGCTATTATGATTTGAGATTCAGATATAATCTAATCTTGATACTGTACTTCCAGAGTTTTGTTACATGAAATCTGAATTAAGTAGATTAAATGTTTTATAATAATTAATAAAATTTAAGTTTTGTAACATGTATAGTATAGTTGAGATTAAGAATTGTGATCTATATTTCTTATTGGTTGATAATATTTAATCCAATTGTGGATTTGTAATTAAGTTAAAGTCTTTCAAAACTTCGAATCTTAATGATTTTATTTGAAATCAAATATTTTAAATTTGATTTGATTTGATTCTAATTTTAATTATTTATAAAATCAAATAATTTCAATTTAATTTAATTTAATTTAATTTTAAATTAATTAATTATTTGTTTGATTTGATTTAATTCTAATTTAAATAATTATTTGTCTGATTTAATTTAATTTGATTTATTTATTTATTATTTAAGTTAATTTAATTTAATTTAATTATTAGCTAATTTAAATCAATTTTATTTAATTAAATCTAATTTATTATTTAATTTAAATCGAATCATTAGGATCCTTAGTTTAAACAATTAAGCAAGTTGTAATTAGGAAATACTTACAAGGTATTATACAAATTTTAAAAATTAGAATTTTTATTTTAATAAGTTTTTGATCAGGTTTTACATTGTAATTTAAAAAAAATTTTTTGTATGTAAGAAAAACTCCTTTGATTATTTGCTATTGAAGATGATCCATGTCTTCCTAAGTGGACTGCATAAATTATACCTTAAGCCTGAATCCATAATCGTTTCCACCTTGATTCTCAAAAATGGATCCTAAAAACGCCTGTTCTTCTTCATCAAACTCTCCGGCTCCGTGCGCAGCTTTGGGCGCTGATGGACTGATGAAAGACTTGCGCCTATAAAATCGAAAAAAAAAAGAAAACACCATTAACGACTGTTACAAATGAGGTATTACTAAATTTTTACACGGTATTCACCTCTCGCCACCACCTTTCGATGGCCACGTTGGGAACATTTCTGGATCTTTAGGCAATGGACTTTCTCTGGATGTTCAAATGAAAAAATTAATAACACAAGAAAACTTAGAAATTGGTACAAGATAATGAAGAGACGACACACGTGAAGTAAGGATGTTTCAACGCCTCTTCAGCAGTGATCCGTTTTGCCGGATCATAGGTTAGTAATTTTGACATAAGATTAATGCCGTTTTCTGTTAAATATGGAAATCTACTACGTAACGTGTTGTGCCTAAAAAGGAAATCAGTCAATTCTTAAGATTACTTTTAGACGGAGTGGAATATGTAATGAAGAATGAGATGCTACGTTCACTTACGATTGTTTGGAGTATGGTATATTTTTTGCGTAAGGTAACTTTGAGAATCCAGGCCATATCTTTTCATTAGGCATTCCTAACAATTCAAAGATCTAAACATAAGTATTCGGTTAATAAAATATCTGGAACATAGAATGACTAAAATCATAATAAAGTACTACAACAATAATAATACCTTGTTTAATTGATCAAGCTCTGCGCGTCCAGGTAGCAAAGGTTCTTTATTTACCAATTCGCCAAATATACAACCAACTGACCACATATCCACGGCAGTTGAATACTCTTTGATGCCTAGCAGTAGCTCCGGTGCTCTTTCAACATGGAAAATTTTCACAAACAAGCATTTAACAAATATTTTAAGATCACTATATTAGATGAGATACTCACCGATACCACAATGTTACGACTAACCCTGTCATTGGACCAAGCGGACTACCGTATTTTCTCGCCAAACCGAAATCTGCCACTTTGATCTGACCTCGATTATTTAACAATAGGTTTGAAGTCTTCAAATCACGATGAACGATCCAACTGTCATGTAGCATCGCGACAGCAGATAAAAGTTGCAACATTATAGTTTTGACCTCAGATTGCAAGAAAGGGCTTTGCATATCTTCCATCAAACTTTTGAGATCATGTTCCACAAAGTCCATAACGATAAAGATTCTATCAATAAATCAAAAGAATCGTTCAAATCAAATACGAACGAGTGCTATTTGTGCTTATGAACGAACATGGTCACAACGTACTGAGTTAATGTATCCCCAACTACGAGCTCTCTAACATTCACGATATTTGGATGTTTTTCCAAGCGTAAAAAACGCAAAATGTCCACTTCACGTAAAGAAGTAATCGGGAAACCATTTTTTTCCTTATCCAGCTTCAGCTTCTTCAATGCCACGATCTCACCTGTGGCTTTATCCCGTGCGCGAAAAACTACCCCGTAAGCACCCTCTTCGATTCTATTTAGCTTCTCATAATTATCCACGCTACGACACCCCGTAATCATAGGCGGTCTTGAAGTTTGCATAGGCTTGATAACTTTTTCTACGTTTGCCTGAGGCGTTGTTGTTTCAACGTTGGCAGAAGGAGATGAGATCTCGATTATCTCATTTGTCGGTTCGACAACAGGAGAGCCTGAATTAATTGAAGGAGTCCTCGATTTCTGCCCGTCGTGTGATACTTTCAGCCTTTTGATTCCCTCAGCTGCAAGTTCTGGTTGTGAGCTTTGCTCGTCACCTTCGGAATCAATGCTTGATTTCAACGCCTTTCTTATATTGCGTTTTTTTTACTAATCTTTCGTTCACTTTCAGATTCTTCTTTATCGCTTTCGGACTCCCATTTCGATTTTTTTGTCTTTGTTCGCGAGGTCGGGGTATCGGTTGACTGTACTTCAGGAGTGACGACAGTATTATTCTCTGAGAGATCCACGTTCATCGGGTCTCCAGGAGAGACACCTTTACTTTCCATAACATAAAAAATGATCTTGATCTACAAACAGCAAGCATATCAAAATTCCATACAATTACATCATGCCTGAGAAAAAAATGTAACACAAATAGACCGCGTAGAATTGCTTTGAGCATTAGGATTTCCTGTGAAACAAGTGAGTATGCATAATCGGTTTTCCAAATGCCGCGAAAAAAAAACTTTTTTTAAAAAAAACGTTGATATAAGATATGCACGTTGAAAAGAATGACACGTTCTCTGCGAATGCTTTAACTATTTCAAGTAACCACACAGCCTATGAATTATTATGATTTTTTATTATAGAAATTATTACAGTGTACCATTCTTAAATAGAGAAGTCTATTTAAAATTCCAAACTGAAATTTGCATTGCGATATGTACTGTATATAAAATTCGTTACACGTGATGTCTGGCACAGAATTCTTTTATTCGACGGTAGGCTTCCCGCAATTTCTCTGGAGGCGCCGTAAAAACGATTCTCACTGATCGACGTAAAAAAAGAGGAAAAATTTATTTTCAAGTTAATGACGTGTGTTCATGATTGCAAATTATAAATTATCTCAGGTTATTATTAATTGATTGTACCGTAATTGGGATAGTGGAAACACTGCGAATAAAATTTAACGAATGTGGTAATGTAAAATTAACAAAGTCGGAATAAAACATTATTTGTTCATACAGAAATTCGCTAAAATCATACTTTTCCTGGCAAACACATGATCGACTCCTCTTCAAGTAACTTCTCCGAAAATTCCACATCATTCTTAATATCCCTGAATTCATCAATGTTAATTCCAACCATCACGTACATCGCTCCTTGAGGCACTATAACGTGTAATCCTGGTATGCTGGATAGTATTTCGGTAGATAATTTAGCATTAACTTCCAATTTTTTGTTGGTCTCAAGAAAAAATTCATCAGGTGTATTTAAAATCATGTCGGACAAAGAATATTGTATCAAAGAGTTCGCTCCTAGTATTAGATTGGACAAGGCGAATAAAGCTTGGCGAATCTCTGACAAAACCTCGTTGCGATCATGAATAAAAATCCACCCAACCCTCCATCCCGGTATTAAAAATCGCTTGGCTAGTCCACTAACTTTTAGAATTGGAACCGTAGTGGTTAATGAGGCCAAGGGGTAGAATTTCTCGTCTCCAAATACCATATCTTCGTAAATTTCATCGCTGATGATCACGAGTTTATAAGTTTCAGCAACGGTGAGTAGTGATTCTAAATGTTGGCGAGTAAAATTAGAGCCACAAGGGTTAGATGGATTGTTTATTAAAATGCACGCTGTTTGATCATCGATTAGGGAGATTAGGTGTTCTAAATCAATTTCCCAATTACGATCAGGCTAGACAGTCAAAAATGTACAATTATTTTTTTAAGATGTGTGAATCATTGAAATTGTGTGTGAACGATGCTTTATAAATAATCACTTGCCAACAAGTTATAATAACGACATTCGATTCCTTTCGATTCAGAGATCGTTTGGTAAAGTGAAAACCCGGGTCTGGGAATAAGAATATTTTGACCTTCATTACAAAGAGCAACAATAGAAAGATTCAAAGCATCCGAAGCACCGCTAGCAAGAATGATATCCTGGTTTTGTTTTTACGAAAAGATGTTCATAATCATAGACTTTCTTGTATGAATTTTTGGAGGTCTACAAACCTTTGAAGTTAACGGAGCTTCCTTGGTCGAAAATTTTTGTGCCAAGGCTTCTCGCGCTTCATCACAACCTAAAACACGAGAGCACAGTTGGAATTTTATTCGAAAAGAATATCTATTGATTTTCTAATCCGTTCTGACAGAAAATACTTTCCTATCGCCGGAGGATATCCATTCGCCTTGTAGGATTTCAGCTGCTTTATGACTGACTCAATGCAGTTTTCCGGAAGTTTAAAATTTCCGTAGTGAGTGGGATCGCCTAGAAAGTTTTATGGGGAGAAGAAAGTCAAGGAAGTAATCTTCGAGATGAGGTAATGCAAGGTTTTTGAAAACCTACCCAAGGCTAATGAAATTTGCTCTTTATTGGGATTTGCCGCGACTTTCATATTAAAAACCACTTCACGAATAGGATTGACGGTCCGTTTAGATACGACCGAAGCGGGAACGTTCCATTTTTCACGGGAAGAAGCTCCAACCTTGATTCTTTTGCCATTTCTCTCATCTTCGGTCGGATTCAACGACATTTCGATGGATATATCAAAAAAAAATATTCAGATCTTATGAATCGATGGAGAAAAACGTCAAGTATCGGAATGTGACTCAGAATTAAGCGAGGTTCGAGGGAGGCTGAACCCAATCAGAAAGCGCATTTTGGTAAAACGTATCGTGGAAAAATCGTGAACTTTAAACAATATACAATTTTTATATAATCGGGATTTGAATTTTTAATAATCTAATTAGATTTAAAAAATATAGGTATTTAATTTTTCTTAAAAATTATAGCACTGAAAATCGGACAAACCAATTATATTTCAATTTTAAAAACTCTAATCCTTTAAAAAAAACGACAATTAAAATGGACGTTGAAATGGAAGACGCAGTTACCACACCAATAAAGCTTTCTGAAAAAGCTAAAGGAAAATTAAAAGACACCTCGGGAGGAAGAATATCTGAGGATGGAAATTTGCCATGGTTCGTTTTTTATGCTTGACGTTTGTAGTCACATATTTTATCAGAGGAACGAGGGATTTTACGCGTTTTTTAAATAGGATAGAGAAGTATCGTCCCAAAACACTCGAAGAACTTGTTTCGCATGAGGAAATAACCTCCACAAGTATGTATATTATAGGAAAACTTAAGGAAAGTTGGATGTTAAGTTAACTATTGTTTCTTTATTTTCCAGTCGAAAGGTTCATTGAAAACAATCGCGTTCCGCATTTATTGTTTTATGGACCGCCCGGAACAGGAAAAACAACAACTATACTCGCGTTTGCTAGAAAGTTGTATGGGCAAAATTGGAGAAATATGACTATGGAGGTGTAGTGATCTTGATGAAAGCAAAGTTTCATAGTAAAGAATTTCTTGTCACAAGAATCTAAATGGTGGTTTTTTTTTTCAAACTTAAGCTAAACGCCTCAGATGACCGGGGTATAGATGTGGTGAGGGAAGAAATCAAAACCTACGCGAGTATGGGTAGAATATTCAGGTACAAGTTGATTAATTACGAAGAAAATATTTACGAACCATACATTAAGATTAAAATAAATTCAATAGTACCGGATTCAAACTAATTATACTGGATGAAGCCGATTCCATGACTTCTTCTGCACAAAACGCGTTGAGACGAAGTAAGCTTCTTTTATTTAATAGGAGTTATAATGGTTTAAATGCTTTGTTAAAATTTCTTTTTCTTCTTTAGTCATAGAAAAATATACAAATAACGTTCGATTTTGCATCATTTGCAATTATATTTCAAAGATAATTCCAGCCATTCAATCTCGTTGTACAAAGTTTAGATTCTCGCCCATAGGTGAGGAACAAGTAAATTCTCGCCTGGAATACATCATTCAATCCGAAAAGTATATATTTCTTACTTCTCAGGTAACCTATATCAAGCATCGTGTATTTAAACATTCTACTTCTCAATAGTGTAAAAATCTCCCAAGATGGTATCGCCGCTTTACTA